CCCCCCCCCCCCTTTCCCCCAAACACACATACACACACAAACTGTCTCTCTCTCACACACACGCAATTATAAACACAAAAATAAACAGACACATTCTCAGACACAAACACAGGCACGCTCACACAGACACACACAGACACACTCACACAGCAGACACACTCTCAAAGACACACACAGCCACACACTCACTCACACGCGGATGTACAGACACGCACACAGACACTCACACAGATGAACACAGACACAATCACACACACAGACAGACAGATAGACCGCCACACATACACACTCACACATACACACTTTGAACACTCACGTAGACATACAGACACATCCACACACAGTAACACACACACACTCATATACACTCACACACACTCATATACACTCACACAGACACGTACAAACAGACAGACAGATAGACAGACACACACACACACTTTTAAAGACTCACGTAGACATACAAACACATCCACGCGCACTAACACACAGATTAAAACACAAGCAAACATACACTCTATTACACATAACCACACACAGACTTATACACATACAGACGGAGAGAGACACACACGCACACACAACCAAACACACAAGAAAACACACCAAAAAAAATCACCCATACATATGCATACACTATCTGGGTGTATGTGTGTGTGTGTCTGTCCATCTGTATGTGTATAAGCCTGAGTTTGCATGTGTGTATGAGTGTTTGTGTGCGTGTCTTTGTGTTTGTCTGTGTGAGTGTCCTGTTTGTGTCTCTGGGTCTGAGTGTGTGTGTGTCTGTGTGCGCTTCTGAGTGGGTGTATATGTGTGTGTGTCTGCGTGTGTGAGCGTGTGCATGTGTGTGGCGCTGTGTGTGTCTGTGTGAGAGAGAGAAGGAGAGAGAGAGAAGGAGAGAGAGAGAGAAGGGGAGAGAGAGAGAGAGAGAGAGAGAGAGAGAGAGAGAGAGAGAGAAAGACACACGCAGATGGACAGGCACACACGTGCACACAAACACACATATACACCCACTCAGACACATACACACTCAGACCCAGAGACACAAACAGACACTCACACAGACAAACACAAAGACACGCACACAAACACTCATACACACATGCAAACTCAGGCTTATACACATACAGATAGACAGACACCCACACACACACACACCCAAACATTTACACACACACACACAAACCCCCACACACACACACCCTCTCTCTCATTTTCGTGTGATTGTGTGTGTGGGTGAGTGAGTTTTTTTTTTTGTGTGTGTGTGTGTGTGTGTGTTTGTGTGTTTGAATCTGTGTGTGTGTGTGTGTGTTTTTGTGTAAGTATTCTGTCTGTATGTGTGAGTATGTGAGTGTGAGTCTGTGTGTCTGTTTGAGTGAGTCTGCATGTGTGTGTGTGTGTGTGTGTGTGTGTGTGTGTGTGTGTGTGTGTGTGTGTGAGTGTGTAAGCCTGAGTGTGCATGTGTGTACGACTGTTTGTTTGTGCGCATGTGTGTGTGTGAGTGTATGTGGGGGTGTGTGGTGTGTCTGCGTGTCTTTGTGTGAGTGTGTCTGTGTGTTTGTTTGTGTGAGTCTGTATGTGTGCATGGATGTATATGTGTGTGTGTGAGAGTGTGTGTGTGTGTTTATAAGCCTGTGTGTATGGGTGTTTGTGTGAGTGTGTGTACGTGAGTCTTTATGAGTGTGTGTATGTGTGTGCGTGTGTGTGTGTCTGCCTGTATGTGTGTGTATACGAGTGAGTGTGTGTATCTGTTTGTGTGTGAGTGTATATTTGGGTGAGTCAATGTGATTGTTTCTGTGTGTGTCTCTGTGTACGCGTCTTAATGTGTATGTATCTGCATCTCTGTGTGTGTGTCTTTATGTGTATGTGTCTGTGTGAATGCGTCTTTAGGTGTATGTGTCTGTATCTGCGTGTGTGCGTCTTTATGTGTATGTGTCTGTGTGTGTCTGTATGTGTGCGTCTTTATGTGTATGTGTCTGTGTGTGTCTGTATGTGTGTGTCTTTATGTGTCTGTGTGTGTGCATCTTTATGTGTATGTGTCTGTGCGTATCTGTGTGTGTGCGTCTTTATGTGTATGTGTCTGTATCTGTGTGTGTGTGTGCGTCTTTATGTGTATGTGTCTGTATGTGTGCGTCTTTATGTGTATGTGTCTTGTGTGTATCTGTGTGTGTGCGTCTTTATGTGTATGCGGCTGTATGTGTACGTCTACGTGTTGTTTTTTTTGTTGTTGTTGTTGTTGTTTTTTTTGGGGGGGGCGCTGTGTGTGTGTCTGTGTGAGAAAGAGAGAGAAGGAGAGAGAG